TAGTCTTCAGTCCCCTCATCCTCTTTGTTGCTCTTCTCTGCACTCTTTCTAGAGTCTCCACATCTTTTTTACATTGTCACAACCAAAACTGGATGCAAATATTCCAAGTGTGGCCTTACCAAGGCCTTATAGAGTGGAATAAACTCTTCACGTGATCTTGAGTCTCTCCCTCTGTTGATGCAGCCTAGAACTGTGTTGGCTTTTTTGGCAGCTGCTGCACACGGCTGGCTCCTATTTAAGTGGTTGTCCACTAGGACTCCAAGATCCCTCTCACAGTTACTACTATTGAGCAAGGTACCACCTATACTGTACTGAGATTGGAAGCTCTTCTAGCCCAAACACCTCCTCAAGGCAGGATCAATCAGAATGCCACTGTGGTGGTGAAAATAGTCAGCACCTTTTCCCTAATAGCAACAAAATCAGGGTGTAGCATCTCTGCGCTGGATACACTGCCGCAAAACCAAAGCAAGGAAGGAGAAAACAGATCAGCGGGAATATGGATGGGCCACCCTGTTGGGTTTGTCTTTGTTATCAATAATCTTTGTAGCTCAGGGTTGAAATTAGGAGCTTGTGGCGCTCTCTGATCTTGCTTGTTTTCTTGCAGGAACATCATGATGATATTATCTAGTTGGGTAATGAGACATCTGCAAGAAGACAACCAAACTCAGAGAGCACCAAGAATGCCATAGACGTTCTCCTCCTCCTCCTCCCCTCCTCCTCCTTCTCCTCCTCCTCCTCCTCCTCACTTCCCCTTCTCTCTCCCCCATTCTAATAGTGATGATGTTACCTAGTTTGGGTAATGAAACATCTGGAAGAACAGAACCAAACTCAGAGAGCACCAAGAATGCCATAGACTTTCTCCTCCTCCTCCTCTCCTCCTTCTACCCCTCCCCCTCCTTCTCCTCCTCCTCCTCCTCTCTTCCCCTTCTCTCTCCCTCATTCTAATAGTGATGATGTTGCCTGGTTTGTGTAATGAAACATCTGGAAGAACATAACCAAACTCAGAGAGCACCAAGAATGCCATAGACTTTCTCCTCCTCCTCCTCTCCTCCTTCTCCCCCTCCTCCTCTCCTCCCCCTCTCCTCCCTCTCCTCCTCTCCTCCCCTTCTCCGTCCCCCATTCTAGTATTGATGATGCTATCTAGTTTGGGTAATGAAACATCTGGAAGAACACAACCAAACTCAGAGAGCATCAAGGATGCCATAGTCCTCCTCCCCCTCCCCTCCCCCTCCCCCATTCTAGTACTGATGATGTTACCTAGTCTGGGTAATGAAATGTCTGCAAAGAAACAAGCAAGCTCAGAGAGCACCAAGGGCCCCTTGTGTCTAAATTATTTTTGTTTTTCTCTGTTTGTAGTGACTGGATCCCATCTTTGTTTGAGAAAAACCATACACTAAATGTATTTGTTTGGAGCTTGGTTACTCAACAGCTAGAAAGTGCTGAAGTGGCACAGCAGTGCCTGCATTTTCTGCATGACATGAAAAAAGTACACCTTCCTCCACCTGTCCTTACCACTTTCTATAGAGGGGCGATTGAGAGTTCCCCGTCATATTGCATTACTATCTGGTTTGGAAGCATTATTAAATCCATTGCAGAGAGTGGTGAGGACAGCAGAAAAGATCGTTGGGAGTTCACTCCCTTCTATCCAGGACATGACATATAAGTGACGCTTGACCGGGTCTGCAGAATTGTCTGGGATGCCACACATGCTCTCCACAACTGTTTTCCTTGTTACCTTCTGGGAGGGAGCTTGGTGGTATCCGAAGCAGAACATCCAGATTCGGTCACAGTTTTGATCCGTACAACATCACCTGTGTCAACTTTCAGGCTTCCTCGTTCCGCTACGTATTCAAACGTTAGTATTTATATGTTGGGGTGTAGGTGTATGTATGTATGTATGTATGTATGTATGTATGTATGTATGTATGTATACAGCCTATCTATATGTGTGTTATGTATGTGTGTGCTTCTGAGAGCAGGCAACAGAATTCCATTTTTAATGTGTGCCAGAATGTGTCCACAGTAAAAAATGAC